ACAAATCCAATTTTAGGATAAACTAGTTTTTTCTAGGCTAAATCAGAATATCCCAGCGATAGGATGATAGGATGAACATACACGTCAATGAGTAGATCATTCGGGAAGGTAGTAATTGAATTTTTTATCAATCAGCTTGACTTCTTCCCGAATGATCTACTCATAAAGGTGTTTGTTCCTTCCTCACAGAATATAAACAAAGTAGTACGAAGTAGTTCAGACTAGGACAAACTAGTTCATCCTATCGCTCTTCGGGTACACTGATTTAGCCTAGGAAAAACTAGTTTATCCTAAAATCGGGTTCGCCCGGTAACATATATACGTAAATATAAAGTAGAAATGTGTTTCCATAGTATTATCTTCAACTTTATTTACTATACAGGGTGCTTTATTAGGAAAGGGGCATACATCAACAGTAGATAGAGGTCATCTATGTAAACTGACCAGAAAAATTTCAGGACCACATTAACAAACATTAAAAAATTCTTGTGGGAATCAAACGACGCTCTTAATTATCGAAATTTCGAAATTCACTTCAATTCTGAGGTGATTCAAAGAAGTAGAATTCAATTTTTCAATTCTCATACAACTTGTTGAGATATTTTCATTATCGGAGGAAATCGATATATCATTGAAATATGCAATTAACGTTATTAATGAATACATTGGAAAGGCCTGATTGATAATAGGAGAATGTATGTACAAAATGGTCTGGAATTCCAGGAAATAACTAAGCAATGCATTGAAGGAAAATACGTCAAACTATTCAAGAAAATGAAAAATCCAATACATTCCATCTTTCACTACCCGAATAAAAATTTCTATCCAAGTTCATAATTTGGGTAGTAAAATTGTACAGGGATGTAATGAATTTTTCAAATCTCGATCTGTATTCATCTGACTGTCATGCCATTTTACCAATGGAGCACCCTGTATATTAGACAACCAAAAACTATACACATCGTCATGAAGAGAAAGAATTGAAGGATTCAACATCATTGTCGATAGTCAAAAAACAATATTCAGTGTTTTCTACTGGCGATGATTGAATGTGGAACATGTTGATGATCTATCTGAAAATAATGTTTTTGTGCAAGAAATGATGATAGAAGTGTGCAGATCAAGTATATACATTCGTAGTACCTATGCTTACATCCTTCATGAACTAAGCCATAACTCCAAGCAACACTTCTTACCTCTTTTAAGGTGAAAAACTATACAAAATATCCCAGTACCTTTCATCTATTGTTTTTGATTATTCTATATGCAAAGTGGTGAAAACTCAGTGGAAATCTTTAGTTTCAATAATTCTACTATACCGGGTGTTACAAATTCGTGACTGAGCATATGACGATTTCGGTAACCTTAACAGATACAGAGTATGTTGAATCACCATTTCATGCTCTACAAAATACTGCTTTGAAAATAGGAAGATTTCAATTATTTCCGGAGGTATTCGAAAAAAAAAAGAGAAAATATGCAAAATCGTTTCAATTTATTACTCAGTTTATTTGAAGAGATATTTTGAAAAGGCGATGAAATTTTCCTCCTCTACAAAATGGAATTGTCAAATTGAAAATCCGATATTTCTTCTTCGAGCGACCATCATCAACTTTTTTGTTTTAAATACGGACCTGGATTTTCTCTATCATTTTTCGATAGTTTTCGATTTCCACGATGTGATGATGTATCAAAATATTCACGTTGATGGAAAAAATGGTTATAAAAGATATGGAGATACTTATCAAATTTTGGTAAACAATCAATATTCTATAATGGAATAATTTTACTCCTTACCTGATGAGTTGAAAAATATAGAAGAAGCAGAAAAATTTAAAATGAAATCAAAGAAATATCTGCTCAGTAAACTGTAATTCTATATCTACTAATAGTATTAATCAGTCACAATTTGATTACTTGGATGGATTATAATATTTTCATTTTATATTTTATTATAATTTTTTTTTATGAAAAACAATGATTGTGCGACTATTATTGTTTTGATTTATCGTGTTATATGTATGTTTTGTTGTTCAATCAATCAAACTTTGTCGAACACAGCGTTTCTGGTATCAGTTTGTCTTTGTCTAACATATTATTCAGTGCGAAGTACTTCTGTGTATGTCTTAAGGTTATCGAGATCCCCATGCTTAGCGAATTTGTGACACCCGTCTACTTGGGTAGTCGAGGAAAATAGGATATTGTTTTAAACATACCCTCTTCAGGAGTAACTTCATAGAATGTTGATCAAAAAGACATTTACACATGCATATGGCATTACACGTGGTATTTTTGAATACTTTGATGCTTCGTGGCAATGATCAATGATGAGACGTTATAGCGACAGATGAATAGATTCTAGTACAAAGTTCATTATTTTAATGAATATTCAGGCGGATTTATGCACGTCGCTTTTTCATTAATCTGTAGTTTCACAATCATTAACGATTTCACTAATGAGTTGAAACTTGGTATTTCCGTTCAATCATTTGGGCACCCAAATTAATTTTCATCTTCCATTAACTATTCGCCAAAAGATGATCAACTTTTATCTCTTAACGACAAATACAAGTAATAGTGTGACTTTCGCAAGCGTTTTTCAAAATGTGGCTGAAAATTCACAAAATTCTAGTTGCCCGTTCAAATAAGATTTTGTTAACAATATAAACGAATTAGCGTTATTTTAATAATGTGAGCAGTGGAGGTTAGAACACCAATATTTTCATCGGGTTGAGTACGCTGAGGACTATGTTTGGATCATGAAGAAAAGTTCAATGTTAAAAAAAGGAAATGCATAAAGGCATCAAAGTCCTCAAATAAAAATGAATTTGATGACGGTTAATGAAAGCAACATATTAATGAAAAACCGGTGTGTATAAATTCACCTTTTGTTATCATTAGTGGACCGGCAGTTAGTGACAGATTTTCTGACTTGATTTAACTCAATATGCCTTTTGGAGGGTATTATTATGTATATTATTCGATGACATAAAATGATATATGAAGAATACTCCTGTGTTCTCAATGTATTTAGGCATGTTTTCATATTCAGGTGCGTACCTGAACAATTATGTATGTATATGTATAACACCAACATGTATACTTCTAGAATGCAGCCTGTTTGAAAACGGAGAAAATAGTTATTTATTTTACTAGGCAGAAAAGTACAAGATTTAATGCCACGGCTGGCGTTTCATAGCCTAGGCGTAGACGAGACTAGGAAACCAGCCAAGGCATTACATCTTCTTTTCTGCCATGTGAATCATATAATTTTTTCTCCAAATTCTTTCCAATTTCACGCAAAGTCCGAATAATCCATCATTTATTTTTCACCCAAAGTCATTGTCAATTTCGATTACCAATTTGATTCAAATTACTTGGGACGTTGCAAAGCAACAAACATTTCCTGCCTAGGCAGTAATAGTATCTACACCTTTTCTGCCTGTTGAGTGTGATTGAAAATCCACTTTTGATGTCATTTGGAGAAAAATATTTTTTTTCTGTGACGGGAATAAAGTTTGGCATTTCATCTCTGTTGGCAGGTTATAAAATGTCACTTTTCATACTAGTACTTTTTTCCAGGATATAATTATATCATCACTGTTGATGACTTTTGTTGTGCTATAGTTCCGAGAAATAAGTCAATAATACCGTCTCCGAGAAAGAACTGCAAGTCCTTTAATCTTCCATTCGACTTCGCGGTTACGTATATTACTAAACAACCACTAAATTCGCAATTTTTTGAAATCAAATCACATAATTAGACTGACAGAAGTGACATCAGATATTTGATTACTTCAAAAGAATGATAAAGATGCCTACAACGCAGGTGTCCCTACTGTTAACAACTTTAAATTTCACGTCGATAATTTTCAGATTTCAAAATAATGTCACTTTTCATGATTATTTTCACGGGAAATCATTCCTTAACATCAAAATATATACATAATTACACCATCTGAAAGGCATACTGGATAAAATCACGTCCGAAAATCTGTCACTACGTGCCGGTCTATATTGTTTTTTGGGATTAAGTAACTTTGTAACGAGTGATAACTCATCTAAATTCCTCATTAGACATTGTTATCGAAATGGTTCAGTAAGAATGTTGGATAGTTTGGACATTACATGAAATTCGAAAATGTTGCGTTTGATTACATGATGAAACAGCAACATCATAAGAATATATAGCAATGAGCTTCTGAAATTTATTCAAAAAAGTTTCATTGAAATGTCAAAGTATTGACAGTAGATAGTAATCTAGGAATATGAGTGTTCTCACATGTGTATGATAGGAACATTCTTCATCAAGATATCGCAAGTAACCGCAGTAACCACACTTCAAAGTTGAAGACCGTACTCAAGAACACCCTGTACAAGTTGTTAGATTGAAGTCTACCACTGACTGTATAATATATCCCACGATTCTGATGAAATAATTTCGAGAATCAGACGATAATGGCAAACCAGCAGTTTCAGGATAATCATGAAACGACCAATAGTCGATTTTAATTGAATACCCTGTATATGAATCTGAAAAATTTCCACATGGTTTTTGAAGGAATCATGAGCTAGCCTGAATTTTGAAAGCATAATACCCTGCATAGTTGCTATCTATAATTTTGTAGAAAGAGTTCATTTGATTCAATAATGGATAGGTAAACATAATATACAGGCTATCTTCGAAATACAGCAAGCTGATGTTATTTCAACATTTCCCTCGGAATTTCACTAAAAACAATTATCAATGATTCGAAAACTAAGTGAAAAACACTACAGAAGTGGTATCAGTGATCTCAATATCATTTTCATCATTTTTTCAACCAAAACAGGTAAAAATGAGACAGCTTGTTGCGTTTTATATCAAACAGTTCGTATTCAGAAGAGAACCACCCGCTATTTGCAATCAAATTGTCCACCACCAAAATATATGTATCTATATATTTATTTACACTACAATATGCAATATTGGCCTTACAAAAAATAAAAAAAAAACTTACTTTTCACGTTCCTCCATCTCCAGAGGGTTATTGACTGGTGTTAGCATTAACAAAAACATGATTATGGATTAGTCAATATAGAAAAGTATCAAAAATAATATAGTCTCATTCAAAACACACTGTATCGATTTGTAGAATTGTAAGGCAGATAAGCTGTCACTGCAGATATGGATATCAACTCACATTTTGTATCTGCTCGTTTTCTTCTGCATAAAATGATGATGATTATGCAGATTATAATCACTATGATGATAATGGCAATTATGGACGCTATTATAATGACGAGTTTGTCTTGGTTCAGCTGTTTCCACCACGACAGGCTACCTGCAACAAAAATAACATGCATGAGATAACTAATATATGCAATCAGTTAAAGTACAAGTTATCCTAACGTTTGAATACATGCTTTGGCTGAAATATGTATTACGAACGTTCCCAAAACGTACATTTTCCAATGAAGAAGATGTATACAGGGTGTCCCATAAGTCATGGAAATAAGTGGGGTGGTAGGGGGGGTCATTTCAAATCAAACTAACCGTATATGTGGTTATCCAATTGTTGATGGTTCAAGAGTTATTAATGTTCTTTCATTTCTATACAAATCAGTGAGTTAAATCTAGCATGTACATTTTAGGACGTGGGACGTACGTTTATAGGGCGTATATTTCCGTCTTGAATTGAGATTACAGAGTTTATACTTCTCCTCTTCATTTCAATTTTCATTTCAATACTGAACATATTGGTAGGTTATATTTTTATATTTTTCATGCTCTTCTTTTGGATGTTCAACAGATATAATTCAATGTTCGATGTGGCAAATAGCCAGGAAAGTAGTTGTTTTTTGTTGAATATTCAGAATGATGTTATATGCATATATACATATTTTTATCTGAAGGAGAATGCATATCCTCTACTTCAGAAGATTTAGTTTTCAAATTCTTACCGTGTGTGTTCAATAGATGTAATTCAATGTTCGTCGTGGCATATAGCCAGGAAAGTAGTTGTTCTCAATGTATTTCTTTATATATATAAATATATATATCCATTTTTTCATGTTCATAATGTATCTGAGAATATTCCTTTTCAATACTTTCACCCAATCAAGGGGTTCAAACTTGAACGATGGGAACTTTTCATTTTTATAGACCTTCAATCGCAGATTCGTGATTAGGTTTTCTCAATTCAGAATTTGTCCACGTCCTGTATGATGACTATCAATTCCTCAAACATTTTAACTGCCATTTTAACTTCCATCTTATTGGATATACGATTCGTTTATTTATCTAGGTATTTTTTCTTGTGTCTCTCTCTTAAACATATGTGTTACTTGAGAATGATAAATGTTATCATTAATAATATATTGCACCGTCACACTGTCTGCCGATTATGGTATAAAATGCAGGGTGTCCCATTCAAAAATCAGAGTTAGGGTCATTTCTGGTCAAACTGGATGTACGGTAAAGCAACTAGATATGTCAAATAATGTCTCCAATTTTCGTTTCACTACCTTCGATATTGAAAAAGATATAGAGGGGTGAGACACCTTGAAAGATCTCCCGGTATAATGTTTCTAGTCATATTCGAATTTTTCTCTGCAAACATAAACATCAACAAAATTACATACTGAAATTCTATTACTTCTAATATTCATGTGACCTTGATGAGTTGGATGAACTATTGTTTTTTGACGCGTAATTATAAAATGTTAAACGTGAAATATGTTTGACTTCACCAATGCGTTGTTGATAGCAAATGATTATATCGTTAGAATTTTTTTCATTTATGAACTATATCTGGTGCTATTTAGATCATGAAATATCAATTCACATAATCGTCTGAGCATACTTTTTTCATAAACCATGTCTGGTTGAAATGTGAGTGGATGAACAAAAAACCAAATCGATACCTACTAATTTTCAACTTCGTCCTCGACATCTAAGTAGATCGACATTCATCGAGCTTTATTCATTGGCTTCACCTATATAGTTTATGAAAGTACTGTACAGGGTGCGCCTCTTAAAATGAAACCCCCCCTTAAATCTCTTGTTTTGAGAGATGTGAGAAAATGTTGAAATAAAAAGTTGTTTGAAAAGACCCACACTTTCATTTTGTGAACTTACTTCATATACAGAGTCATTCGTTTTTCCAGACAGGACATTAACTTTGATTTTTTCAATGGAACACCCTATATATTTTCTGACATGTCGATAGAGCCTTTTTTCTGATGTGCAAATATATGTGAGTTTCATATTTGGATGAAAAATAATTGAGGTATTGATTATCAAAGTTTACCAAAATACCTTCTTCTATTGAAACTGTCTATTCATATTTTTTTGTATTGAGATTGAAGGAATTCAATTTCTTAATGAACAATGCTATGACATTTAGATGGAGCTTGAACAATATATGTACATTATTTCAAAGCTCACTATACATTAGACGATATGAAGGTTCATAATGCGGTATTTTGGAAAATTTTGATCATCAATAACTCAACTATCTTTCATTCAAATATGCAACTCATATATATTTTTGTGATCAGAAAAAAGGATTTACCAACCCGTCTATGAATGTTGCTGTGTTATAATATCATCGTTCGTTGAGAAAGTTCAGATTCATTTGGTACATACTTGATTGTTTTTGAATAGGTATTGGATAAATAATAATTACTGTCACTTTCAATCATACTGCCTATCAAATTGAACATTAAGTGCGTTGACCAGGAGAAAAGTGCAATAACATGCTTAAATGCCTTGTAATTTACCTGGCTCTCCAATTTGGCTACTTTGCTCCTGGTAAGCTATATAAACATAGAATAAGTAGTAGTAACATTGACGACAATAATATGCCTTGGTAAATACGTATCTAACTGGCAATGATTATAAATTCGTCTCTATATTAGGACTGAACTAATAATAAAGATACGTACTTAATGAACAGGATGTAGGTACACTAATTAGTGGACTTTTTGATGTACCTACCAGAAACTGATGATGTTTGCATTTGATATACTTGTGGCATGTTTGTAATATGGAATAATTCCAGTAAGTATATCGCTACCATTATCATTGATAATTTCAATCGAGTATAATTATTTTATTATACTATCTATTCAGAATTAGCAATGATATTGAAGTTTCGACACAATTAAACTACGCATTTATTATCCGAAACAACCCATATCGAGTGTTGAAAAGGAATATTCTCAGATGAATTATGGACATACAAAAATGGATATACAGGGTGATTCACATAACAACCGACATAGGGCAGGGGCATGTAGGGGGTCCCAAAATATGGCAATTTAACGCAACTTACCTCTATACCAAGTTACTTCCCTGAGGAGATATAGGCATAGCACTAACAGCATGCCAACTTGCTCGTTAAAAGAAAACTGCCCGTTCATTTTAAAAACACTCAAACAACAATTACTTAATTGAACAACTCACTTGCCTCATTGTCAAGTTTGACGTTTATTTTCATAGCCAACTTTTGAATTTTCGATGATTTTAAATAACACACCTAGAGCGCGCGTTTTCAGTTATTCGAGTTTTTGATGAAAATGATGAGGTTTTTCGAAAAATTACTAGAGTAAGAAAAGTTTAAGAATCAAATCGCCCACAAAACGAAGCAAAGATTTTTGAAATCCATCGAGTGTTAACAAAATTATGTTGAATATTAATGGTGCGCCACCTGGTATATCCACTTTACAAATTTTAATTAAACTCTAGTTACTGTCAAGTAACGCCCTAAATACATCCACAAAGTGTACCAAATTTGGTTGCTTTAAGTTTAAAAATAACGAAGATATTGATTTTTTTCAAAATTTATAACTTCACTTTCAAAGCCTATATCTCCTTAGGGAAGCAACTTGGTATAGAGGTAAGTTGCGTTAAATTGCCATATTTTGAGATCCCCTACATGCCCCTGATGCTCTATGTCGATTCTTATGTGAATCACCCTGTATATCAATATGAAGCAATACATTGAGAATTCGCATTCTCTATGTGATGAGAATATCTACTCTTCTTCAGTTTATTCAATAGAAAACAACTACTTTCCTGGCTATATGCCACGACGAACATTGAATTATATCTATTGAACACACACGATAAGAGTTTGAAAATAGAATATAAAAAACTTCTGAAATTGAGAATTTGCATTCTCCTTCAGACAGAAATATGTATATGCACACATCATTCTGAATATTCAACAGAAAACAACTACTTACTACTGGCATAGTGCCACATTACAAAATGAATACCAATATTCTCATTACTTTGGATTCTTTGAATAAGTGCAGTTTTAGAAAAACTATAGTGTGCAACATGTGAGGAAAAGTACTTTTCTCACTCGTGAGAAAAGTTGAACTTTCACCACTTGTTGCACAATATACTATTTCTATTTCTAGACATAATGTTCATGACGAAACAATCCCTAACAACACAGGGATGTCCTAGGTACGTCCTTTTTTTGTCTCGCGGTACAAGGACATGATTGGGACATCCAGGGGATGTCCTGCAGTGGTTGTCCAGTGGACATCCCTCCCGGTACATCCCTAGTTTATCCTTTTCGTGTCCCTGAAGTATCCGATATCCATTCACATCAGAGTCATTGAATCTCATCAAACTATTGTGTTGAATTTTTTTGAAAATGTTTGTTTCTTTTCCGGAAAATGATTGTAATGAAAATAAAGAATAGAGTCTCAGAACTTCTTAAGAAATTACCATTTTTCGCAGACAGAAATCGTACATGCATAATGCCCCTCATTTTTAAACACCCATCAAGAATGATAATAATTATACCCAATTCCTAATAAAGTTGTATTTATTCAGGTTTCTGTAGTTAAGTCCTGTTTATAAATCTGTTTAAAACATAAATCTTCAGGAGGCATGATAGCAAATGGAGCAAGGTGCGTGCATGATAAGCCAAAGGTCCCGGGTTCAATCCCTACTCGACCTGCAACTTTTTTCTTTTGTCGAAAGGATGTCCCTGGGATATTCTTGGGACGTCCTAAGGATATCCTTTCATCGTACTTGGTACATCCCAGGGACGTACTAGAAGGACATCCCTTGGATGCCTTTTTTAGCGGCCAGCGGATGTCCCTGGGACATCCCTAGTATGTACGTTGTCCCGACAAAGGACATTCCTGTGATGTCCTAGTATAAAATCAGGGACGTCCATGGAAAGTCCCTAGGATGTACTGGTGTTGTTAGGGATGTTTGCCGGGTCAGCTAGTACTTGGTTTATTATTTTGCTATGTGAAAACTCACCTGCCACATCTCGTTCACAAGGCACCCCAAACCCGACGGAGTTGTTGACGTAGCACATGTACGTCCTGAAGCTATCGACGCCCGAATCGAGCACCAAGAAGCTCTTCAGGCCGTCGTTGACGATGTTATCGGACTCGATGAAGGTGTCGTTTTGTTCGCGCACCTTCCACGCAAAGGTGACTTCCGAAGGGTTAGCTTGCACGGTGCACACCAAAGCAGGACTGCCT